TAGGCAGCCTAGCACGCAAACTCAGCCAAGACATGAGTTTGGGCCCCAGACCCTGTAATAACATGATTGAATGTCATCCGGACTCTTCTGGAAATCCAATGGAAATATAATTTAATATATATTGTATGCTGTGGAATGAACAGGTAAAGCCGTTTTTTATTTTTATCAAAGTCTTGATTTTGGGGAAAGAGCCCCATAGCTTTAACAGCTTAATGCGAGCTATGAAAGCTTTGGTGTTTGCCTTGTCCTCACTTTATGGCGGCCTTTGGCCTAGCATTGGCGAGACAACGCCATAACGGAGGCTCTCTCTGGTGTCATACAAAAACACATTCCTGCGGAGGGAGCTGGTAGGGTTGCTCGGTCAATGGCCAGGGTCAACGGCGGCACCACGTGGTGTATTCCGCAAATATGCCCGACTGAGGGCCGGCACAAGCCGGCGTGAAGGGTGGGGACCTGGGATGGTGGAGAGAAAAAAAAAGCTGTTGCTAAAAAAAATTGAGTACAATACCCACGAATTGGCGGCTTATAATGTAGAGATTGAGAGCAGCCACGTACTCCAAACGCATGTTGTTGATTCTCCACGTGGAGGAAAAAATGTCGTGAAGATGGCCAGACGTGGTTGGTGGCCACCCACCCCCTCGTGTGTGCCGTGGCCACCTTCCCCACCCAGCCCCTCCCCACCTCCCATTTTTGGATGCACGACGGACAGACACAATCATCCCCTATGGGCTGGTGGAACCAGGAGGTTCCTACCAGTATGAAAATACTTGCTAGCACCGTACTGACAATTTCACTGCGGACTGTGGCCTTTGTAAACGGAGGGAGTGTTTGGGAACCGTAGGCTTAAATAACGCTTTCAAAAATGTTTACCACAGGCAGATTACTAATTAATCGCCAGCCACCCAGAAATTCAAGTCCGACACTTTCCACACTGATTATCTGACAAACCCCACCCACTAAAAATATTTATTTCTGGGGAAGTGTTTCCATTTGGCCAAAACGGATGCTTCGCTTCTCTTGGTTAACATAACCCCAGTTATTATTTTGAATTAACTTGTTACTTTCGGTAGTGATAAGCAAGGCGATAGGCAAGGTGGGGTCAAACTATCCCAACGACTGACATAGCATTGAGGCATTCTTAATAAAGGCTGTAAATCAGAATTTTGGTTTATAATCCATGCAATATAATTTTTGGATTATTACATCTCAGGCTCGAGAGGTGGCAGCGACTTGGGGAGGCGTTTAGCCATCAGTGGATTCACCTTATCCGACAATAATGATATGCAATACAGTTAGGTACTCAACTCCGCCTCAAGTCCATCCATTGTAAACCCTCCCGAAAGTCCCACTCCGTTGCCTTCTCCTGTAAGATCTGTAACAGCTGCACAGCAAGCATCCGAAGCTGTCATCAAGCACTGAAATCCAAGAAAATATTCCATGAGTAATTAAACCCAGGGACGGACGGCACAGATGTGAGCGCTGCATAACAGTACAGGCTAGCTTGGTATTACCATCACCACCCATTTCAACAAGCAGCTGCCACCTCTGGCATTTTTTTTAAATCAGACAGTTATTTTGTTAAGATTTGTATATGTTACAGTCTAAGCCATGAGAGTTTCCAAAATCGTGCGACTCTCAAAAAGCATTCAAAGTTGACGATTTTCCACGTTCAGGTAAAAGAGCGTGCGAACGTCGTCTCAAAGCCAGCGAGCAGGAACAAAAAAGCACAGATACGAGGGATGACATTTTGTTAACAACAAAAAATTTGCGAACTAAAAATGGCATTTTCTTCTGTAAGACGAGACATGTCCCAGCAATGCAGTTTTTGAAAAGGCTGCAAGTGGAATGCAAGTTAAGTTTCCCCAAACATTCCAAATATGATAACATCCACCTCACACGACCTACACACTTGCATCGTGATAATGCAATGTATGGGCGTGGGCATGAACATGCCGCACATTGAAAGTGGTTGTACATCAAATACGGAGAAAAACACCATATTCTGGCAAAGACCCTGCAGCAAAATGTCACAAAAAATGAGATTATTAGAATCATGTGCTTGCTTTAGGGGCGTGAAGAAATTTGAATGAGTGGAACGCTTAGTTGTCTTTGTTCAAAGAGACATGGCGTGCGACTCAAGTATTATTTCGCCCCATGCAAAACACTTATCCTTCTTTCCTCGCACTGCTCGACCATGGAATTTCCACCCAGTCTCAAGTCTATAAACGCCTTAACTCCAAGAAGTTAAGTTTGTTTCTGGCTAATTGACGTGTTGGGTCTTTGGGCCAGTGCTCAGTACTTGTCAAAACAATGTAAGGCGACAATAGTTGAGCCATTATTTTGATTATGATGACGGCATGAGTACTTTCAGAATGAATTCCTCCTCCATCCATAATGTATTCTTTAACATTTTGGTGAATATAGCAGCCTCTAGTGGCTGGAGAGGGGGGGGGTCACATGATTTGGAAATCGGGCATTGAGTCGTGGGATGTTCCACGGTCTGTTGTGGGTGGTGACCAGTCGCACAATTTGCTCTCTTAAAACCATGGCGGGGGGGGGGGCTTGTTTAGAAGGGCCATTGGCACGAAACGTCGCCCATTATATATGCACTGTATTTTTCCCCACTTAAGGACGATGGTATTGGCACACACTGTAAAAAGCGTTGCCCGGCCGAGCTTTTCGTCATAGTGCAGCAGTGACGTCAATGCATTTAAATTCCCTCGAGACGCTGGGGGGGAGGGGGTTGGGGGTTTAACGGCGTTAGATCGCCACGGTGAAGACGGCGCTGGCCGCAACTTTACGGTCACCATTCCCCTTGCCTCTCCCCTCCCCATTCGTACCCTCCGCGGCCTCACCAAAACACAACGGCCGTGCGCACGAGCACAATAGCCTCTCAACACGTTCGTCACTGACACCGCTCTTCAATAGGAATTACAATATACTGTGATAAGCGACGTTCCGGGCAATGACCACTAGGTCATAGCCACTTTGTCCTGCTAATTAGAAGGCCCATTGCCCGAAACGTCGCCCCTTATATTTACCCCATTTAAGGACGGCGCTGTTGATCAATGTGTTGAGTTGTTTTTTTTTCTCTCTCTCTACGCGATCTGTGTTCCCCCCTCCCTCCCCCACCCAGGGTTGCGTCTTCTGCCAATTAAGGCCGAATACACAGCAGCCTGATAGCACGAGCGCCAATGGCGTGATGATGGTGGGGACGTGATGAATGATGGAGCAGCGCGGTGGGGGGGTAGCTCGGGGGAGCCGAGCTCGCGCACAAAACCCCGCGCGCTGACGTCAATCGCGAGCTGCCACCACCGCCCGCCTCGGCACTGCGTCACCGGGAGGGAAGGACGAGGGGAGAAGAGGGGTCACACGAGCCCTCTCGAAATTCCTTCACTCTTTGTCCCCCCCACCTCACCCACCCGCGGCGCCCCATTCCCTCGTTCTATTCCCTTGCGCGCCAGTGTTACTCAACCGTTCACGCAAGAAACACTTTCTAAATGGAGCAACGTGTCCTGAGGTTGTTGCGCGCCAATTCCTCGCGAGCGTGGACCGGGCAACTTCTCGTGGACGCGCGGTGGGGGCTCGAGGTGCCGTCTGCTGCCGCTCTGTGCTCGGTTAAGATGTTTTTCCTGTTCATGTTTTTTGTTTGTTGCGGTTGCACCCGATTTAAGAGCCTAATGGCTCACAGGGCTATACCAAATAAATGAAACTGAAAACTGAAACCGATTCCATAGAATCAGAATCAAAAGCGAATACATAGCACAACTAAATTATTCTTATCCACACTGCTATTCTTCCTTTAGCCAGAATTAGCTGCAATTCCTACCCACCGTAAACTAGTGTGAAATTGCAAATATAATCTGGGATACTGGTCCCCCACATCATGACAGATAAGGAGAGTTCTTCCATGTATGCCAAGCGAAGATTGATACACAAACGATCCCATTCGTGTAATCGCATGTTTAAGAGCAGATTTTACTCTAATCGATGCGTCGTTCCACCGCTAATGGATACAATGCATGTTCAGACTGGTCAATCGAATTATTTTTTTGTGCGCTTTCATTCAAGGTGCTTGGCAAAGCTTAAATGACAGAATGAAAGGATGCAGTTGACAGGGGCGGTACAAGGATTGAGGAATGAGTGACAGCGATTGAGGGGTACTTGGGGATCACGAAAGGGTAGGGGAGAGATGGGAATGAGTGGAGGGGCAAGGGGAGAAAAAGAGGATGAGAATGGGCAAGAGAGAAGAGGCGAGGCTTTAAGGCAGAAACGGAAGATGAAGACAAATACATATCCAGTCTATCGATAGAGCAAGCTTAAATAATTCCAACTAATACAACAAACTCCTAATCAGTATGCATATATATGCCTCATTGCTACTATATTTAGGTTAACCACAATAACAAGTTGGAAAGTGTCGGCACTCACATTTGGCATCAAGCCCATTGGGGGGGGGGGGGGGGGGGGGGGATGTCTATAGATGTTTAAAGTACAATACACGTTGGGCAACTCATCTGCACTGCAGCAGAATGATATTAATTGCATAGAGCAAAGACTATAATCCAATTACTCTCGGGTGAAACATAATTTACCACTGTCATAATTAACAAATACGGTATAGTGGTGGTGCAGTGATAAGTGGACCAGTATGGGCCCGGTGACCAGAGTTCATTTCCCAGCCAAATAAAAAGATTTTAATATATTAACCAGTTCTAGCTCCCTCCCCCACTTCAACCCACACTGCCCAGCATGGTGAAGTATGTTCAAACAATACCTAAAACGAAGAGGCATCCTTGGATTGATCAAGGGCTATAATTAGATGGGTTTTTTGGAATGCAAATTAACCACATTACATCATTTTGGCACGTGGATGCACATAGATCGCGTTTCTATTCTTAAAAGACACGCATGCCACATCCGCATTGTCCACGGGAACATTCCCAGCTATTTAAAACCTCTGAAACTATCAGATGCACATTTTTTGCCGGTTTGCATAGTATGTCTAACGACAGGCAAAGGTGGTCAAGTTATTTTAGATTTCAAAAAATGTAGGCCAATAAATTGTAACAAGCGTCTGACGGGTACTACTGCAGCAACTACAAAGCGAGAGCAACAAGACCAATTTGTGTGTTTGTTTATTTTTTTTCCCAAGGCAAATACCACAGACAGGTGCACCATCATATTTTGTAACACCACAAAACAAAACCCGCAAATACCACAAAAAAGCCCAAACTCGACACTCCAATGGCACACGCGTGCCGGCCAAACCATGACGGGGAGGGCGGCAGGGGTGCTTTGCCTGCTGGTGAATGCCTCTGGACGAGTGGAAAGTTCCAGCGGTCCGTGCTAGATTCGCCAGCACGCTGGGATCAGGGCACGGGGTAGTGGGAGTTTCCTCCTCCTCCATGCCAGAGTGCCAGCCACGAGCACCGTCACGGCGAGAGGCAACACCACCGCCGCCGTTGTCGCAGCCGCCTCACCGCTCGAGTCTGAATGGCGACAAAAAAAACCCCGCAAATTTCGCAGTCTTCTGAATGCCACAGCACCACCAGATTCATGGCCGAGTTGTAAAAAAAAAAAGCTGAGGTTGAATTGGTAGTCACGGTGAACACCTGTGTGAGAGATCGAGACAGGAACCCGTCCAGTGCCAACCCTTCACTCTCAGCGACCACTGTGGAAGGAGGCGATCAAACAGCTCCCATAACCACACACTGCAGGGAGGCCTCCATCCAGCAGTGAATTGGCAGCTGTAATACATGCTTTCATCATAGCCAACCAAATGAGGAAATATCGTGCAGGTGCAAGGATTATGGAGCAATATCCAACATTGCACTTTTCCTAAGGTATTCGATTGGCATTAACGACGTGACAAGACACGACCCAGTGACATGCAGCGAAACCATTTGGCGCAGTTTGAATTGCCAAGTTTTGAACAGCGTTCCGATCAATTTGGCAAGGGGAAGGGCAACGTCTCCAAGAGAAACTTGATATACCGGTTTGATTTTGACTTGAATTCCTGCAGTCACGAAAGTTTTATGTTATTTGGTTCTTTTGGTAAAATCACGTGGATAGATAAAATAAAAATAAAGTAAATACAAATATCACGGCGTTTGGGATCGCAACACAAGCGGTCGTCATCAGGAAAAGGTGCTAGCCTCTAAAGGCAAACTGTTTATAACGGTTTGGAGATGGGTGTAGCCCAAGTGTATCAGCAGCACCACCAGCATGGGCCGTGCAGCAATGCCAATGCAGCAGCAATGCCAATGCAGTAAAAGGGCCCCCCACGAAATCACTGCACCCCGCTCCACACACCACACTGCTGACGCTGGAGGTTGATTGACAAGAAAACAAAAGTCAGGTCATGACCCAAGTAGTTGATGACAACTAATGATTGCCGAGTCTATAACCTTCCTCTCGGTTGAAATTGTCTATATGGATAGCTTCATGAACGAATCCTTACTCCTTTGATTCTTTTGGTAAAGTCACGTAGGTATAAAATAAATCGCGACGTTTCGGGCGCAACACAAGCGTCCGTCATCAGGTGGGAAAGCATGGTATGCTGCTGAAGCACTGTTTTAAAAGGTTTGAAACGAGTGTAGCCTAAGGGCACCCAAAATGCCAGGGCTTGTCAGAGCACTTTACACGAGATACAGCTTTCATAACGGCTCACGTTTAGAAGGGCACCCCCAGTGGCAGCTGTCCATGTGCAGAACAAGAACTCTGCACCTGGCCTGCAAGCAGGCCTGAGTCTGACAGTGGTGTGATTATTTCCAGGTGTAATCCAAATGGAAATTCGATTGGCTGGTCAGGGTTTCTGCAATGTTGCCAGGCTTTTTTAATTTCCACTTGCTACGGTCGTGGGCAGACCTGCAGTAAGATATGCAGATTTGATTTAATGAGGTCACAGTCTATGTTTTCACTTTGGAAGACTATCGATGACGTACTTAGAACGGGACAGATCAAGCAATTCAGTTGATGAATTGACTACGTTATTGGAGCCGATTATTCAGGCTCCTCTAAAAAGGAATCTAAAATCGGTAACGTATTACTATTATTTAGGATTTTTTAAGGTACAGTAGACCTCAAAGGGCTTCAGAACACCGTACCTCAGATTTGCCACATCTCCAAATAGCACGGTTGGCTACATACGGTGCAAAAGAAATTCAACATATATATGTACAGTAAAATGTACACAAACACATATCTCCAGTTTACATAAAATAAGGAAAACAAGTTAGGTTTTAGTTTCTTGCCAAATGGGAGAATGGCAGCGGTCGGGTGCAGTTCTACAGGCAGAAAGTGTTTCAAACCAGAGGGCCAAGGCTAGAAAAAGCCCAAGCTCCAAAAGATGTTTTCCAAAAGCATGGCTGACAGAGGTGCACCGTCATGGTGTGTAAAGCTGCAAAGAGGAAATTGCTAAAAGTGCTTTAATAAAAAAAAAAATTGCATAGCCCCCACGCGGGTGATGGAGGTGCGGACTGCACCGGCGTGGTCATGGGCCCTCCCGAAGCGGAGCAGGTCGCGCTTGTCGATGGCGGGATGATCCGTTTGGTCCCCGCTCACGGTCAGGGGGCCCAGGCCCACGTAGCCGCTCACCACAATGCCTGCACACACAAAAACACAAGGAAGAAAAACCATGGGTATGCATGGATCCTACAACTCCATAAATAGCATTTGTATGCAGGAAAGCATTTAGTTCAAGATTTAATTCGCAGTACACAATAAGGTAAACGTACATACGTTAGCGATTATGCCGTTCTAAAGCTGCGAGTCCCAGAGTGAGATGACGTCATTGCAATAGTAGTTCATCGTGTACGAGTTATTGTGCCCCAGACGTTTGAGACAAAGCTAAGGCATTCATTCTTTAAACCTTGCTTTGTAAAGTTGGTCAGGCTTTCATGAATAGCTCTATATATTCAGGAAAGCCTCAACAAGTCCAGCTTCAGCCAGGAAAGTGCTGCATTGGGATATTTAACCATTTTCATTACGAGTGTTTAACCATGTGGGATGAAAGTGGAAAACCCAAAGAAACTCGCCATTGGGAAGCTCACGGCCCCACAAGCAGCAGGAACCGTCGCCTTTTCCACAAATTGAAAATAAAACAAATCACCCGAGCACTATTTCGGCACGCCGCGACCAACGATGGAACATGTCGAGTCGAAATCGATCTCGTGCACGATGTCTACGAGCCTCTCGCGAGCTCGTGTCCACCATAGGCAATCGCCGCACCTGGAGAACAGGCAACCTCGACACGGAATTAGGGCCATGACTTAATCCATATTAACACCAGAGAAATGAGGACTTAGTTGTAATGCAGCGACTTACACGCTGTATTTTGAACCGCAACAAGGGAGACAAAATGATAAATATTTTTACAACTGAAACTCGATAAACAGATATAACCTAGAAAGTTAAACAGATACGAAGCTGGGTGGGTGTGGTCAGGGGCCCTTAGCCAACAGCCACGAGGTCGTCTGTTAATCAAGTCAAAAGTACAACAAAAATTCCCTCCGACCAAATGATTAGACTTATTTGCCAATGCTTCTGCTGCGTTGGCAGTGGTGAGCAAGCAGAGAAACTCGGTTGTCATTTACACCGCGACCCTCAAAGAAATAAGGGTGTCTGAAAATGAATATACCAAAAAGAAAGTTGAAGAGTTGGATTGTCATGCGTGATGATTACAAATCATATATGAATATATGCATTCGACTTAAAATTGTAGTTTGTTGTGAATATTTATTGGTATCTTCTGCATCAAGAGAAACCCCATTATCTCATTAAAAGGCCACCCGTTCACCCGACTTAACACCATTCGATTTTAATCTGAGGTTTGTTAAATAGTAAAGTCTACACGAGAAAAAAGGGACTTGAAGCACTTCAACATCGTATTGTTGATGCTGTGTCATACATCCCTATAGCGGTGTTTGAATGCCAAATTATGTTGATAATGAATGGACGGCATATACAAGTTTATTAATAACTGTAGAATATAATGGAAAAATTACACGAACTAAAAACATAAGTCAGTTTAACACGTAGGCGTTCGTGACCAATATCATCCACTGTTTTTTTTTTCGGTTAGATCGTATAAATGTCTCATTAAACCCGCCACAGCCAATTAGTAAGGTTTGTCATGTAAACAGAAGATGCCAATGCGTTACTAGTGTAGTGGGTTCAACAGTCGCAGACGTAGACTTGAGGTAGTGCATTTATTTAGTTCCAACACACGGGGTAACTTCCCCCTAACAGAATAACAACATCAGGTGGTGACTACCCGGCTAACTACACTAGTTACCACAATTACCACACTAGTTACCACGTAACTGTTACTATGGACCCGGGTCCAACAGCATTTACCCGTGTCCACGTGCTGGAAGACTCGTAGAATGGAGATCGTAGACGAAGGGTTTTTTCCCAGGATTAACAACCCCGGTCCCTCTCGGGACTGGGCTTATATTCTCTGCAGCATGGTCGGCCCTGACCTTGGCCACATCCACCTTCCAAAACCATTGGGAAGGATCTGGGTCCCAATCACGTGACCCCCCCCCCTAGCCTCCTCTTGGGGGCCAGTCATCTTAACCGGTCACGTGTCCTCGCGGGTCAACTAGAGTGCCATGGCCTCGCACGACTTTCCCCTTTGGTCGGCACCCACACACCGTGTCCTGTAGGGCCGGCACTTCACTTACAGCATGGTGCCATCCAGCGCTGTTACTCTACTGGTACAACACACTGATGTGTTGGAGAACAAAGCCACGAGATTTAAAACCGAGTACGACGTTTCGCCAGTAATTACAACTAGCTTCATCCGGCGACAGCCATATGTGGAGAAATCCTCCTGTTTCATTCCTGAAATAAAGGGGTAGATGTGATGATATCACTTGAGCACTTCTTGAGCGATGTGTGTGGGGGGGGGGGAATTAATGAATGCATATAAAGGACAATAGGTATCCATTACAGGTTGGGTTATTTATGTAGTGCGTTCCAGGAGACTGGAGACGCAGTACTTGAGGCAACATGTTTATTTACTAACTGTGGAATACACGTTTCCTAACAGAGGGGTAACGGCCCCTCTACCCGATACTTAGAGAGGTATGGCCTCTGGGCTAGCGTGTCCCATCAATGGGACCACTCACAATCCCTCCGGCTAAGGGGGGCTAAGGGGACCCAAGTGGAGGCTACCTGACCCGACCCAGCGAAGGTTCTTCATAGCATAATTTCAAGTGCTACGAAGGGATACTGCCCTAAACATCTATAGAACTTTTCTTTTTAACGCCACAGTATTGATGAATGCGTTGAGTTTTTTTTACCAAATTGACTTTCGGCAGAGTGCATAGACGCGCAATACAATAGACTTTGCTGCACTGTCCTCCACTGCTGCCGACAATGTAGTTATGCAGCCGACAACACCACCAGGTGTGCACGGCAGTCGCCCATCCAAGCAGCATCAAGGCTCAAACCAGCTTAGCTTTCAAGATCTGACATGAACAGGGGTCATAGGCACAATGCCTAAAAAGAAATCAGTTGTGACTTAATTACATTTACAAGTTTGAGGAAAAAGGAAATATTTTAGGAAAAGGTTCTCTTTTGGAAATACCAATTATGATATTCTTTACCCAGAATTGACAGGCGGTGGGGCACTTAATGGGCCACTCACCAGGATGTTGCTGCATGCCATCATCCTGGCAAGACGACTGTGGACCTTCAGGGAAGAGGGTGGGGTCCCAGGAGAACCCAGAGCCGGGCGTGGACCATCCTAACAATTTGCAGTTTTGCAATGACTAGCGCCACTGAAATCCTGAGTTATGTCGGCTTGAAGTCGCCTGCTGTGATGTAGCTGGAATGTATCATGGTGCAACGGTTATGGCCTCAGGCATTGATTGCGCAAAAAAACACCCCAATTAAACTTGGCTCTGCACAACGGCAACGGCTAACAGTGGTGAGAAATACCCAAACCAGTCCAGCTCCATCCGCCTACTCCCACCATACCCCTTCACCAACCCGTACTGAAGAACGGGGAAGTAAAGTCAAAACCCCCTGAGGGGACCCTGCATGGGGAGCCCTTTATCTAGCAGTTGATTGACAAAGGGCTATATGTTTTAATTGGTTAGTATGGTTGGCTACGCACCATGCAAAAGAAGTTCGTACACATGACGTCACGAGTAATACAGAAAAACGGTCCTGTAAAATATTTCATGCTGGCTTATAGGGTATGCATTAAGAGGCTTACATTTTAATTGCAATCATAGTTTAACTACTGCATAACAGCATGGCAACTACTATAACATGCTTTTACAAAACACAAGGAGTTTTAACTGCTGTCGACAAGGGATAAATACTGCAAAACATTACCCTAGGTTAGTGGGACGCATTTCTGAATGCTCTCTCACAGGCCACAACCTGCAGCCAGCAGAATTAAACAAATAAATTGTTTTATTCCGAACACAAACAGCTAGCAGTGCACAACGCTTTCTTGTATCACATTGGCCTTGTAAGATAACATTGCAGAACTACATCTTAAGTCACGTCGATAAACCTTTACCCACACTAGAAACATGCACTTTGTATTCCGCAAAGAGTGTTCATTGCGTGGTGAATCACTTCATTATTATTTTTTATTCTCAGAACCAAATTAAGTGCTTAAACAAATTTGGGGTTGAGACCAACGACTTTCAAATCCAGGGTTAAATTATTGGGTTTCTAAGAGGAAGTTTCGTCATTTTTTGTATAGTAGTTAAAAAATATCAGTGCTATTTAAATGTAGGCCTCTAGTCGATGCACGCAACTCCATACACTTAGAAATCCAGTTAAAATCGAGTTGGCATGGTTGGCTACGTACGGTGCGGCAGTTTAACATGCATACAAATCACGGTTGACCAAAACGTGGGATTAGAACAGACATTCAAGAAGATTGTAAGGGTTTGTGATTTGAGCCATCGGACCACCACTACACCACGGTCAGATGGCAAAAACTACAGTAAATACCCAGAATATACTATGCTGCCAATGGGACTCAAAGCATCGGCTCCGTATAAATAGGCCCTCACTGGTAAAAGCGCTGTCCATTCACATTACTTAGCCTCGGTGGCATCACTAGGGTTGGTGTCACCCAGCGCAGCAACTCATGGTGTCTCCCCCCCATGGCCCTCCTCCCGTACCAGACCATACGGAATCATTAGTAATGGTCTTTTGTACTTATGTTACTCGTAAATCGTAATTCACTGAATATAATAGCAAGTGACAAACTCGCAAAAAATTACACCTTTAAATTACAATATCATACATAAAGGCTAAATGTATTTACTTTTGCATAGTTTCATGTGGCTAAAGTGAAAATTCGGTAAGAAAACAATAGAATTGAAAAAAAACGTAAAAACCATTTGAGAACGACATTAAAATCAGATATATTTGCAAGACAGTGATGTTTTTAAAGACAATTAAAAAAGACTCAAATAAAAAAAATGAATTTAAGATTTAAGTTATATTTCTAAACATGTATCAAGGTCACGTAGCACTTCCCCCCAACTTGTCAATTTCTCCATTTAGTTATATAATCAATTGCTATACATGCAAGTTTATTATCAATTTTAATCATAGAATAATGTGATATAGTTGTGAATTGATTACATTTCATAGATTGTTAACACTAAACACAATTGTTTTGCAAAATCTTTCTACATTGAATTACAACATTATCAGTAACAGAGCAGAAGCCTTTTTAGATTTCTCTTCTTTTCCTTAAATTACTACTTCATTCTCAAAAAAGTTTTTGATATAGGTTCACAAATACTAATTACCACAATATTGTAGCTAAAACCAGAAAATGACAAAATCAGTGACTATAAAACACCAGCAGTGACGTTAACCACAGCACGTGCTTGTAGCGCGTGCAGACGAATCCACGTGATTCAAAGCGCCATTGTAGTTGGGTAACAATGACTGCTCTGACCGGAGCGCATTAGAAGGTTTAAAAAGTAAATTAGCAACGAGTTTTAGCCTTGTAGGTACATGTACTGTATCAATATAAGCTGGGCTTACAAAAAATGTTTGTTATTACAGGGATATTTTTTAAAATAAAGAATAAATTTCTGCTGAAACACTGCACAAAAATTGTATAGAGTAATTTTGGTGTCACCCCCTCTGATGGTGTCACCCAGTGTGGTCCGCACCCCCCCCCCCCCTCGTGACGCCACTGCTTAGCCTCTCATGTGAAACCACACTAATTGGCTTTTAAACACTCGTTTACCTCCTTTTTGTTTAAGGTATAAACCTGGTTTAATAACAGGCGGTTGAACAGATTCGAACCTAGGGTCTTAAGAGTTACTGGCTCGGTGCTGACACACATGGTCAGATTGAGCCATAGGGATGTTAGTTGGAGGGCCTCTTTCTATTACCGTTTTCCCAACCATGCCCGATGCCAAACACGCTTGTTATTCAGTTACTCACCTTGGGGATTATCAGTTCCAGTTTAAATATTATGTACAAGTGCTAATCGGAGGTGCGGGGGAAGGACAACAAAATAAATGAAAGTTGGAAAGAAATTCGTTTTCAATCTAGATTTAAGAGTGCATAGCTCCCGACTTCCTAATAAATTGTAAGGAAGAACATTCCAGATGACTACCGAAGGGCAACTGAAAGTACAGGATTTAGTGACCATCTTTGTTCAATGGTTAGCCAAAAGCCGCTGCGAGGATGACCGGAGTTTGCATAGTGGTGTACGCTCCTATGAAGAGATTGGCAAGGTATCGTGGTTCGTTTGTGGCAAGCACTTTGTGTGCAATGAGTGCAACTATATTCGTTCGGCAGCCGAAGCCAATGCAGATTGGCGAGCACTGGATGGACATGGTCGAATCTTGCAGTATCCATCAACACGTGCCAAATAATTTTGTACATGCCGTAGTTTGCTCATGCTTTGTGCAAACGTCCCGTAGAGTAGGGAGTTCAATAATCGAGCCTTGTTGATACTATATTACATCCCACCGTGTTGGCTACATCACGACTCAAAAGTGGTTGAATGTGTCGTAGAGCATCAATATTAAAATTTCAGGCCTGTATTTTGCATGTAGTGACCAAAGGACATTATGGTCGAGTATGGTGCCGAGGTTCTTCAGACGAGTAGAACACTGAATCTTGGAGTCTGAGACTGCCAAACCTGATCCTCTGAAATGTTTTCGCCCGAGCGCCAACCAGCAGAACCACCGATTAGCGTGGTTGGTTACGCACGGTGTGAAAGAAGTTCATACATTAAAAGATTTGCATTGAACTGCCCATATAGGACCCACCACTGAGATCTCTACATTGGGTCAAACTTAACATCTCTTAATGATCGACGTCTTATGCATCAGATTTTTATTTATTTATTATGTACTTACAAAAAAATCCACCGATTACCTCATGGATCTCCTTATTGTTTCAGAAAACAAATATGAGCCAAGATCTGGCTCATTTCCCAGCTTCGCATTCCTTATTGCCGTACAAATACTGGAGAAAGGGCTTTTGCTATACATGCCCTTAGGGTCTGGAATGCTATCGCAAATAAACTCCAGCTTGGATCGTTACCAACAAGACGATCACTCAAAAATTATCTAGAGGAGTCGTACAACCAGAGCTGCCACTGCTATCCGGTGACCTTAAATCATAAATATAGCTATAGATGACCGATGTATGAAATTATTATTATTTTGATTATAGTGCGCTGCTGCTATTGTTAATCCGGCTGTTATGGATTGACTTGTACAGCTAGCAAATGATGCTAGGTTTTAGTGGTGTGTTCTGTGTCACTAGTTAACTTTTAACCACATTTGTTGGGAAAACTGTTACGTTGTTTATATAGCATTGTTTTAGTTAGTTTTAGAGGGGCTTGGTTTGGCCCGATTTTTTATTTAGTATAAAGATAAAAATAAATCTATTCTATTATGATTGTTATTGGGATCAAACGTTGAAATGTTTTTTTTTGCACTTGTACGCAGCATGGATGGGTTGTGCTTTTTCTGTAGGATTTTGTTTACGTCTGTGATGTTTAGATTTATGTACAATTCATTTTAGGTGGTGCATCTTGTAATATTGTTTGTTGCGGTTGAACCCAAATCAAGAGCCGAATGGCTCAGGGTAAAGCCTAATAAATGAAACTGAAAACTGAAACAGTTTCGTGCAAACCACAACCTCCGTGACCTGCCCAACCACCTGACAGACTTGAGATGACAATGACTTTGGGGAAATCATTACCGAGTGGAAGAGGTGCAGCCTTGGCAGGGGCAGACGATGAGCAGAGGTTGTTGCAGCATGAGCATACTTGGTTATTGCCATCTGGGGAGATCCATCTGCAAAACACACGAGCTAAATGTCATGTATATCCTAAACAGACGTTGAGGAAAGTATCATTAGTGAGCACTTATGAAGGGCGGCACAGCACACTAGTGGTTGGGTGGCAAGCACTATGCCTGGGTCGCCTTCGTCTCTCGTGGCGATGTTCACACATCATACCAGGTACTCATTTGAGGCGGAGTAGACCTAGGGGAGGCCTATGACTGGTTCAAATAATCATCACGAATGTTGGCCATAAGTAGGAATCATTTGGCCGACTGGGTTCATCGCGCCAAGAGGTGCAATGAACCCCTTGGCGAGCCGACTGAAAATCCAACCTACACACGCGTGCCAGATGACTCGTACAAAAGATTACTCTTACAAGACAGGATACACCGCCAGTTTGCCTGCAGCATTGAAGGCGAGGCTTACAATAACTTTCATTTCCGAAGGCCATATTTTACACATTTCATATATTTATTTTAATTACAATTTACCTTCTTAATTAGCCTTCGTCACATTGTATTGAGTTGTCAAATTTAGTCCACATTTGTTACTTTAAATGTATTCAAACATTGTTATTAAAATTCTCAGCTTGTAAGAGGCAGTGTCGTTTCAAGAGTCTCAATGGGTTCACGTCATCTGCAAGATCAATTAAAGGACACTTGAAAGCAGGACATTCTACCCATTTGGAAAAGGTTAGTGGAGAAATGTCTTGTGCAGGATGTTTTGAAGTTCAAGGCCTTGTGGCCAAGGATCAAATGGAGGTTTTGGGCTAAATTCAGCTGGAAAGCTGCCCACCACTGGTACAGACTAAGTGATAGTTGTGATGTGCATACATACACGTGCTTACATGATGTACCTCAGCATCTTCAAATGCCCCCTGCTATCCTTCACACAAGTGCCCTTGTATGTCCATTTTTGCCTTTTCACCTGATCAGCAATCCCACCAGACTGTGGAAGTGGCTTGTCAACATTTTATAGCTGCCAAACTCGAAAAGCATGTTGTTTCTAAATGTGGAATCGAAAAACCGGAAGACCCGGGGGAGAAAAAGCTACACGACCATAGGGAGAACATGCAAACTCCAAATGTACAGGATCGAACTCACGACCTCCTGAACCACCAGGCGAGGTAGTTAACATTGCCGCCAGTGCCCCAACTGAATGCTTTGAGCGCAATGAGGGGCGGTGGCATTACCCCTCGGGGAAGTAGGTGCACGCCTTGTCAACAGCATTGGAAGATGTTCGTTCTGCCACCTTGAGGTTGCATCGCAGATAAACCTAGCACAAACCACGCACACGACACATGCAGTCCCCTTATTTAACATCAGCCCCAAGCCCATTGCACGCGGTGCAGCAAACTCTTGCACAATACTGCTATGCTCCAGTGTCTAAGATCTCTGCAGTGACTGGGCATTCTCCCAACAACCAACAGTGGTGTGAAAGCACTCATCCAACAGTGGATTGATAAAGGGCAGTATAGTACTTGTTCAAGAGGTCCTACGTTAAGAGATTATTTTTGTTTTTACACTTCTCTCCACAATTATATTTCATAGAAGCGGAAATGAGTGGTAGGCTTAGGGTTAATTAGAAGAGGTCATCGCTTACAACACTAGAAACTGGGACAACGACATTTCATGATTTGGATTTTGGACCATTGCGTTTAGGACACATGGTACATACCTAAACCAAATGATTAAATCAGTGAAAGGAATTAAACAAATTGGGAAAATCCCCCGAAAGTGAGAGAGAAACCCCAGAAACTGAGAGAAAGAACAGAAACCAAGGACTAGAAACATTTAAATGTCACTCAGGCAAGGGAGAGTCCACTTTTAGAGAAAAGGGAGGTTACTAAATAAGTTTTCAAAGCAGCAAAATAATAATATAATGCCACTTTGTGAACACCCCCATAGTAAATGCGTTCATAATAATCTTGCATAGTTATTAGTTTTCTGCTTGCTTCTGAAAAGGCTGTGGGTAAAGACAAACCATTTTATACCAGAACCAACATTGGCAGCAGCTGTCACTGCAATAAAAATGGGACCTAGTCATTTTCAGTTAAACAAAAACATGAGAATCCATTGTACGGCTGAGACTCAAAATTGTGAAAAACCGAGTCAAGGGTAAACCGAGACTGAGACATTTCTATAACAGGCTCTACCAATTTCCCGTAGAATTCAAAGGGCCAGTTCCACAAACCGGCTTATTTTCATCTCTTGCTGCATCGTGCAAACTGTCCATTTATACCAACAGCCGTGATTTATCCACTGCTGGATGAAGGCCCATCTCATTAGCATCCCTCTTGATTCGACAGGAAATCTCACTTGAGCACATGCTGACCTCAACGTTCCATGTGCATGGTGGTCATGTTTCTCCTACTTTGGCTGCCATTATCAAATCGGCATACTTTTTATATTTTCCCAAGCCCACTTTTCTTTAAGCCTCTAATGGGAGTTGGTTCTGACCAATTTCGTCAAAGCATACAACTAATTGGCCAACCACCTTCCAGATAATTTAAGGTTTTAAGACAGGCCCTCATGGGGGCAGTAAAAAATTAAGGGAAATTACGATGTGCACCTGTGTAAAATAATAAAAAAAATCAGACCATCCGAGGCTAATTAATTCATCTTGGGGGAAGATGCGTTAGTCAAAAGTGAAAAAGGATTAAAATCGAGAATTTTCAGGAGGTGCTCCTCACACATGGGATTGGGGTAGGATTGGTGTTTCCAGGAGTCCTCCTCTTGAGGTAGCCGTCCTGAAAAAATGTGCACGTCTTCTTGGAACATGAATATTTAAAAGGAGCTGGGTTTTGGTCCATGTAATTTCTACATTTTTTTGAATTCCATTACACGTTCTGGTTTTTTGTGCCTCAGGGTTGACAACTTCAACTCTGCTGTCTGTCCATCAGCAGTGGTATCGGCTTCAATAGATGCTGTTAGCAGTAGTTTATAGCCAAAACCTGCTGCCGAACAGGACCTTTGGGCAAAGGCCTGATCACCACAGTAACCACGGAGGTCTGGAAAGCCACAGGACTAGTGTGGAAATCTACTATCGGATACGGCTAGGACGATTAGCATGGTTGGCCTCATATGGTGCAAAATAAGTTCAACATACATACATTTCGTATGTATTGCACTTCCAGTAAGAATCTTATATCAAAAGAAAAAGACGTTTAGTACTGTATTGCAGGCATGTTTTACAATAACAAAATGTTATGCAAAATGGTAATTTAGGAAATTACAACATGCTAAAAGCATCTGATGTGCACATAACAAGGTACAGGTGCAGCCTGGAAATTTCCTGCGTTTCTCATGAAGATTTATTTCAGAGCCCTCTATGGTGCGTCAACCTTTTTGCTTGCCGTGTACCCCACCACCACAACTATAAAGTCCTCATACCGCCTACCGGGTATGTACAGAAAACTATTCCATTAAAATAATTACTTTCGTTAATTTATTCAAATGTTAAATTACCATTAAAAACTAGGGAGCACCAAGCACGAGGAAGAATGAAGGTGCCCAAGCGCACAACTTCGCGGAATTCCACACTGGTGAAAAGATGCCTTTAGAAAATCACTTGCACATAAGCACAGCGACTCATGCTTGGCAACCCAGCATAGCCATACCACGCCGACCACCACCGAACTATCTGACGTGCCGTCCTGGTGCGTCATGTGCAACCCCCTAGGGGTAAGAGTTCCTTCGGTTGGGGAGCCATTTGTGGGCAAATACCACAAAGCGTTTACATCAACACTTGAGACTGAACAAAAGCCCAGTCGAGATTCAGATTCCAAATGCCAAATTGCGTTAAGATCAGGTCACTGGGATTTTAACAGCACGATGAACCATAAAAGCACCCCCCCCCCCCCCCCCACCATGTCCTTCACCTAAGCCCACCTTGCGTCTCATAACGGTCAACGTGACGTCTAACTTTGCGAGCGTTCTCCAACCCGCGTGGTGATCCATTGTCTGCAATTTAAAATCTCGCATCCCCTCTGCTTGTTTGGCACTTTGTAACATTTGTTTCTTCTATCAGTTCACAATTTTGATCCATATGCGACAAAGAAAAAAACCTCATTAACCATTGACACTGCAGCCTTAAAAGACTAAAGTATATAATACGTGACATTTTGAAGAATGTTCCTTCTTCAAATTATACATTCTTTGATATGCACGTTCTTTTAAATGCACAATTACCGCACCTCCGATGAGCACAGTTGGTGTCGCACAGTGCGAAAAAAGTTCAGACATGCATTGAAAAGTCTCCTTCAGGGTTATTAGGATGTTGCTGCTCGTTATTGTCGTGGCCCATGATGCTGATAAGCAATCAATTCCAGAAATCCTAATTTTATTCGTGCAATAATCACCTAAAATGGGTTTAAAGTTAAAAAAAAATTGTTGTACAAGAATTTTATAAAGTTTTTCATTTGGGCTGGCTTATTATACAAGTGTTTGATATTGATTTAAGTTTGTGTACTATTGTATAAACGTATGCTTGACTTTTTTCGCACCGTACGTAGCCAATCGTGCTAATCGGAGCTGCGGGGGGGGGGGGGGGGGGGAGGACAAAACAAAAACCGGTTCTAAAGAACGGAGATTTAAAAGTGCATCGCTCCAGTGGCTTCTTATTAACGGTTGTTCCTGTATTGCATTTGCTTTTTGGGGGATTTATATTTATTTAATTACTTTACTTTTTATCAGTGCCATTTAGGTAGCCCCAGGTTAATTTTCTAAAGGACTTATTCTGGTTTCTGGGGTTCACCTCGTTAAGATCATGTATTTAATTATCTAAATTACATGTGTAAGCACACATTTATAATCAGTTTATATATTATGCACCAGAAAGTAGTCACTCGGTAGCTTGTATATGTAGTGGGTCAATAACCAGAGTGAGGCAACACGTATTTTTATTAACAATTAATCCCTAAAAGGGGAGTAACGGTCCCTTACATCCGATAAACTAATACGCCGCCCACTGGCTATTCTAACCCTTCTTGAGTGAAGCTTGGTCTTCACTGGTATAGATTAGAGCCGACCCTTGCCAGGGGTACGGCTCTTCTCTTCAGGAGGTGCTTGATCTTCGGGTGGATGACTGCCAGGACCGTTCAGAGGTCTGGCTTCTATACAGGTCCGTGGCTCCCTCCACCCTGGAGACACCTTCCTCCCAGAACCTTCTAACAGGACCTGGAAGGGAGACGTCATCCCCCAGCCCCCTCCTGGGGTCTGCGTCCCTGGATCCACTATCCCATAGGGGTTATCGTTGGCCCCTTGGGCCATAGTCCTTCGACACTGGGCAGTCACTCTTCCGCCCCCTATAGACACGTGGGATACTACCAGCTGACAGCATGGGAAGTACACAATACCTCTCCACAGAACTTACATTACAGTGAATGGATTTGTAATGCGAGCGCATTTTGCCCAACTGTCCCAAGGCCACATTTATGTCGCAATCCTCAAACGGAACTCATTTCAAAAGTGTGCCAGGTCGTCCCAAGTTCTGTTTTTGTTCCACACCCCAAAAAGGATTTTTCTTCAATAATTAATCATGTTTGTGGAATTGTCCGCCTTTACAAATTCTAGTTTTGCATGTCGAGTCACTGCCAGCGGGATGAACCCATGTACACATCCGCGTTGCCTAGTGATGAGGAGTATGCATGTACATGCATAGCCCTTAGTCCAAGCACTTACGTGGATCAAATCATCCAAGCAGTGTCAGTTTTTGGGGTTTTTTTTTAACGATATTTAACCACGCTCGTTTCTGCAGATTGGTGGAAAGGGGTTCTGACACCGCTTCTGGCCGACGTTCGCCATAACCAGCAACAAACACCGCTTGCCGGGTTTGTCCTGCGACGTGGAGCAACCAATGCTCGACCCAAACACATGAGCAGAGAAAGGTCTTTGTTTTTTTCGGTGAAGTCACGTATAAATGAGATAATAAAATAACATAATAGCGTACAACGTTTCGGTTGCAACACAAGCAGCCATCAGGTACAGAAGAGCTAAATTTACGAGAGAGAAAACACAACCCCAGATGTATATACAGACACCCAAGTAGGGGGGGAACTAACACAGATAACAACAGGGGACACAGAGAGAGAAGCATACCAAACACAGGGTTTAGCAAAATTTGGAAACCATATAAAGCAACACAGACGGTCGGTCAAAACTCAATTAACGTAGTCTGGTTGATTACGCTATTTCAAAGATTGCTAAACTGTAAGTTAAGTGTGAAATTTCAAATACAGACCGCACACACAGACATCCAAGTAGAGCGAACCAGCA